CAGAGTTCCTGAGCCAACATGAGTGGAGGAGGAATTCTGGGAGTGGAAGTCCACAAGTCCTAAAGCTGTCAAGTTTGAACACCCCTGGGGTTTTTAAAGGGTTAGGGGTGCAAGGGTCTTGTGACAACTTTAAGACTTGCACACTTCAATGCCAGAGTTCCTGAGCCAACATGAGTGGAGGAGGAATTCTGGGAGTTGAAGTCCACAAGTCTTAAAGCTGTCAAGTTTGAACACCCCTGGGGTTTTTTTTCTAAAGGGTTAGGGGTGCAAAGATCTTATAAATTGACAGCTTTAAGACTTGTGGACTTCAACTCCCAGAATTCCTCCTCCACTCATGTTGGCTCAGGAACTCTGGCATTGAAGTGTGCAAGTCTTAAAGATGTCAAGTTACAAGACCCTTGAATCCCTAACCCTTTAGAAAGAAAAACCCCCAGGGGTGTTCAAACTTGACAGCTTTAAAACTTGTGGATTTGAACTCCCAGAATTCCTCCTCCAGTCATGTTGGCTCAGGAACTCTGGCATTGAAGTGTGCAAGTCTTAAAGCTGTCAAGTAAGACCCTTGCACCCCTAACCCTTTAGAAAAAACTCCAAGGGTGTTCAAACTTGACAGCTTTAAGACCTGTGGACTTCAACTCCCAGAATTCCTCCTCTCGCTCTTCATCTTGATGATGTCCGGACAGGCGGTGGGAGAAAGCTGGAACTGGTTCTAAACGGCACTGTAGATTTGTGGAACCTCTTCTATAGAAGAGGTTAGAACTGGTAGGAACCCACCCCTGGTATGCATGCTCACAGCCAGCGATCCAGTTGTTAAAGTAAGTGCAGTCCTCGGCTAGCAACAGTTCATTTAGTGACCATTGAAAGTTACAACAGCGCTGAAAAAAGTGACTTATGACCGTTGTTCACAGTTACGACCTTTGCAGCATCCCCAGAATCATGTGCTCAAAATTCAGATGCTTGGCAACGGGTTCATACTTATGCCTGTTGCAGCTTCCCCTTTTTGCGACCTTCCAACAAGCAAAGCCAATGAGGAAGACAGATTCACTTAACAACCAAGTTACTGGCTTGTCAACGGCAGTGACTGGCTTCACCACTGTGGCAAGGAAGGTTGTAAAATGGGGCAAAAACTCACTTGACAAATTCTCACTGAACAACACAAATTTGGGGCTCAATTGCGGGTCGTATGCCAAGCATGCCGAACAAGTATTATATCTTTATTCCTATTTTCTTTTTTCATTTTGTGTTAAGAGAATCTTCTCCTATGGAGAATTAAAGTGCTGTCAGATCACACAGTAGCTGGGAATGCCTTCAGTTCTAGTTTGCCAACAAGGAATAAATGTTTATATTGTATAGACCATGGAGATTTTTGCAGTTTGACTCATTTAAGACAGATGTTTTAAAATGCCTTTGAAGATCCATAAGCGTAAAAATTAACTTTTCTGGGCTTCAGAACTTCACTGGGAGCCAAATCCTGAATTCTAGCCTAGGCTCTGACTTCCAAAACCTTTCCCCTTTTCAGTAAAAAGGTAAAGTAAAGGTTCCCCTTGCACATATGTGCTAGCCGTTCCTGACTCTAGGGCGCGGTGCTCATCTCTGTTTCAAAGCTGAAGAGCCAGTGCTATCCAAAGACGTCTCCGTGGTCATGTGGCCGGCATAATTAAATGGCGAAGGTGCACAGAACACTGTTACCTTCCCACCAAAGGTGGTTTCTATTTTTCTACTTGCATTTTGACGTGCTTTCGAACTGCTAGGTTGGCAGAA